GGGGGATGGGTGGGAGAGAGAAAAGAAGGGAAAAGAAGGGGAACAGCCGAGATCCACCAGGGTGGGGTCACCCTAAGAGGAGGGAGGGAGGGAGGGAGGGGGGGGGAGGGCACATGCTCTGCAAAGCACCCCAGTCCCTTCCAGCCAAAGGGAATGGGAGAGGGACTCCCACTGGTTTCACAGGGAAGGAAGCATTCTAACCAGACCAGACTACTGGGAAGTTTAAATCTATTCTCCTCTTAACAACTTCTTTTCACAGGTAAAATCAGAAAAAAATACAGGTGAAGCAGGGGCCGATTCCACCCATGGGCTGCAGCACATGGCCAAGGGGGCACTTGGATGCGTCCTGCCTGCCACAGGCTGCTCCGTCTGCCAATGCCCAAGAGCACCGGGCACTGAGGGTTTCAGCCACCACCACCATTAATCCTGGCCATTGGAGGAGGGGGGGGCACTGCCAAGCGGGTGTTTGGGAGCCTGCTGAGTGGGCAGCATCCATGCCCTCTGAGACCGCAAAGCCCCATTTCTGGCCTCTTCAGATACGGGAGCCCATCCTGGAAAGGGAGCCTTCTGAGAGGGAAGGTCTGCCGGGGGTGGAGACGGCCCCCAAGGAAAAGCTCCCGGTTCAGCATCCAACAGAAGGGCCCCCTCCCTCTCCTCCCCCGCCCTCCCTCCCTCCGACTGACAGGCCAGGCGACACTCAACAGAAGGAAGACCTGCTCCTGGCCCCCCCCACACACACATTATGGGGGCTCTTTTCCCTCCCCCTTCATGGCCTGACTGCCCCGCCTGGGCTGGCCCAGAGGCCGCCTACAAGCCCCCTTGAGCCAGGAGATGAGAGCAGGGGCGGCTCTGTCCTTGCCAAGGAAGCTCAGGAGGAGGTCAGCCGGTTCTCCCCGGAAGCCCCTTCCTCTTTTGGGGCCCATGAGAAGCAGAGCCACTGAATGGCCTCCCCCCCCAACTGCAGCCCCCAAAGGATCCACAGCCTGATGGCTTCCTCCCTTCAAAGCCCTTTTCATCAGGCTCTTCTCCAGGGATGCCCCCCTCCTTCCCCCAGGAAGAGCCATGGCAACGCTCCCTGCAGAGGGGAAGGATGGAAGGGAGGTTAGGCGGGGGGGTGGGGGGGCTTCTCCATATCCTCCTGGGGGTCCACCTCCACTTTGAGAACCGTCTGTGCATCTCCTCCTAGTTGTAGGTGTTTTATGTATGAAAGGTCAGGGGAAGAAATGGAGTTTCCTTCCAGGGTCACAAATGACTTTTGAGCAGCATTGAGGCTGCTGGGCGACCTCCCCCCCCCACCTGCCCTCTGGCAAAAGGAGGCTTTGCCTGTAAGGACGCCTCTGCCCCCAGGTGAGCACCCAGAAGGCACCCTCCCCTCCTCCTCCTCCTGCTCTGGAGGGCCTGCCTACCCCCGCCCTCCCTGGCTTCTCTGTGCCACTGCCCAGGCCCCCGGAGGGCATCCTTGGCCACTCGTACCCGGTCCCCTGCCGATCGCTTCCGCACCTGGTGAAGAGGGCCTTTTCGCCCTTAGCGTCCACGGTGGGCAGGAGGGTTTCTGTGACCACACTGGCCGCCTCTCCCTCTTCCCCGCTGTCTGAGGCGACCAAGGGGGCCTTCCGTGCCAGGCGGACGTCCCAGGCGCAGGGGGGGGCAGCGCTGGCTGTACAAGGAGAAGCAGGCAAGGCCCCGTCATGCGGGCCTTTCTCCCGCAGCAGGTCAGCACACCAGCAGGCCGCTTGTGCCCAGGGCCTTAAGATGAGGGAGGCCCCTTTGCCAGCTGGCAATCTCAAAACCTCCGAAGAAACGGGGGCGCTTGGGCCTGAGAGAGAGACGACAGGGCCAGCAGCGTCGACAGCCGTAAGGGAGCCGTCTCGGTGGGGCTGAGGCAAGCTGGGTGCCTCTTTCCAAGCCCTTCCCTTCCACTCCACGGAGGCCTTTCCCGGGGGACACGGGCAGAGGCCTAAATTTCTGCCACGCCTTGATTAAATCTACATCAGTGTTCCAAAATATGGCTCAAACTCCTGAGCTGCCAGCTGGGGAAGGCAAAGGGCTGAGAGCTCAGGTAGGGCCCTTGCTTCCTGCCACAGGCAACAGGGCCGGGGGAGAAAGGCTGGCCGGCGAGGGGCAAAGCTGGCGGTGGGGAAGGAGGGAGGGAGGGAGGGAGGGCCTTTCCCAAGTCCAGGAGGCTTTGCACCAGAATCCCCCTTCCCTCCTTGCTGGCCACTTACAGTTCTCTTCCTGGCTCTGCCTGGCCCTTCCCTCGCAATCCTGGCTCTCCTTGTCCACAGGGGAGGTGCACCTGGGAGCCGCTTCAGAGCTGGAAGGGAAAAGCCGGTCTCTCACTCGGGCTGAGGGTTTCTAGGAGGGAGGGGCCTCCACACCGTACCCCTCCTCAGTTCGGAGCACCCCCGGATTCCTTTCGGAGGACAAACCTCTGAGCCCCTCGGACCCTCCCGGCCTGAGCCCCCGGGGCCTGCCAAGCGGGGGTCCTCCTGGGCGCTTACCAGCAGAAGGGTTGGAAGTCCGGGAACCTGGCCCAGCCCCGCTCTTCGGGAGCCTTTGTGCCGGGCACTACGGAATCCCACATGCTGGAGCCGACGTCTGTGGCCACCCAAGCGGCCGGAGGCTTGGACTTCACGGGCTCAGCGGCCGTTCTCCACCCAGACCCTGCAAGACACAAAGGCCGCAGGGCTGCCATGCAGGGGCTCATTGCCAGAAAGGGCCCCCACCCCTCCGCCCACAGCCGCCTTCCCACAGACCCAGCAGCTGTCAGGAGAGAGGGAGAAGGAAGCAGGCGAGGAGGTTCACGGAGGGGGCTCCCGAGACGGCCCTCCTGCACTTTTCTCCTCTGGCACTGCTGGGATGGGAGATGCCCCCCCCCCCCCCAAGAACCCAACTGGGGCCTTTGTCTGGCTACTTTCAAACGCTGAGACAGAAGCAGAGACTCCCCCAGCTGAGCCCCTTTGCAGGCCTCTTGCCTCTCCCTTTCTCCCCCCCCGCTGGTCTGTGCAGCCTTTCGGGCCGTTCAGTTCATGCGCTCTCTGGTGCCGGCTGGAGCCCGTCCCTCGGGATGCTCTTTGGCCAGGATGTGACACCCCCCCCCCCCCGCCTGGCTCCCAAGACTCTGGCCAAGGGCCTCCTCCTCCTCCTCCTCCTCCTCCATGCTCACCTCCGAGGAAGACAGCGGCCCCATCTGGGCCATCGTGAACAAGGGGCGGGCAAAGGGCTCAGTGGTGAGGCCAGGCTGGATGTGTTTTACACAGGGACTTTCTTAGGGTTCATAACAAACGCCTTGAAAACCGCTGGAAGGGCCTTCGTGGCAAAGGGCCCAGGGCCAAATCCTCCCTCATCCGGGTCAGGCTGGCCCCAAAGGTGCTTTTCCCGAAGTCATCGGGAGGGTCTCGGTTTCTTTCCTTGAAGACGTTTCGCTTCTCATTCTGGAAGCTTCCTCAGTGGTTCTTGGAGGAGAAGCGAAACCGAGAGAGTCCAGTTGCCTTTTGGAAAAGCACTTCTGGGATCCTGAAAACCCTCTTGGCTTCGCTCTTCCTTAGAAAGCACCCCACAATTAAGCCCAGGCTTCCCGCTGGCAGAAAGGGACCCCCACTTTTCAAGGCGGACGAGCACAACACTCCAGGGCCACCGACCGCTAGGGATCAACTGTTGCCCGCTGACTGGTGAGGAAGCGGCCCCCATGCTGAACGGGCAGCCCAGCGCAGACAAACCCCTCTCCCCCGGAGGCTCCCGCCTAGGTACTGCAAGGGGGCCGGCATCTCCCATCGAGGGCCTGGGGGGGGGGGGGGCTGCGTGCACAAATCCCTGCACCAGTCTCCACTGGCCTCCCATCCTGGCACAGTAAGCAGAAAGCCTGGGGAATTCAGAGGAACTGAACGAAGGCAGGGGGAGGGGGAGGGGGGGGTCTCGCCTTGCTGGACAGTGGAGAGTTCTGGGATCCCATCCTCAAAAGCCTTCAACCTGGCAACCCCGAGGAACAGGAATCCTGTACAGCCATAGTAAGGATCATTTTGAGTGTGTAGCAAACGCCCGGAGATCTGCCTACGATCCTGAAAACCTCATTACCTTCAGAGGAGGGATCTGTGGCCGGGTTTTCTGCCTTCCAGGGGTCCTCGGAATGGGCAGCCGTCTCCTTCTCGGCCTCCTCTTCCCCAGAGTCCATGCAGCCGTCATCGTGTTCCCCGTTTTCTAGGCTACCTTTGCTTGAACCTTCCACGGAACGAAGTCCTCCAAAGCTAAAGTCACCCGGAAACAAAAGGACAACAAGAAGGAGCTGCATAGGGGCGTCTTTGGAGCTGCATCCGCACAGAGGGAAGGCATGCAGCGGAGCAGCCCAAGGCTTTGTTTTAGGCCTGGTACTCTTCAACATCTCCATCAATGATTTCGACCAGGGGATAAACGGGGAACTCATCAAATTTGCAGACAACATCAATCTGGCAGGAATAGCCAACACCCCGGAAGACTTAAGGCTTCAGATACAGAAGGATTTAGGCAAACCTGGATATTGGGCGCTAGCCAACAAAATGAAATTCAGCGGTGGAAACGGTGGTCACCACAAGGTAAACCAAGATGTTGAGACCCTGAAAGGGGGCGTGGAGAGAAGAGCAACGAAGGTCGCTGGGGAACTGGAGGCCAAATCATAAAGAACGGGAACTGGGTATCTCTAATTTCATGACAGGAAGGACGAGGGGTGACATAATTGCAGCGTTCCCTTATCTCAGAGGCTGCCCCCAAAGACAACGTGGGAGTCAAGCTATTCTCCAAAGCAACTCAGGGCAGGACAAGAAGCAATGGGTGGAAACTAACGGAGAAAAGCAATGGAGAAAATTTCCAGGGAGAAACTTCCCGTCAGAGAGAACAAGGAATCCGGAGGAAGGGACGTCTTGCTTCTTCCAGAAGCTGTGAAAGCTCCATCGCTGGAGGCCTTGGAGGGGAGACTGGGCAGCCATGGGCCTGACGTGGCCTCGGGCAGGAGGGACCAAGGGCCTAAAGCGTGCATGAACCACCTAAATGCAGTGTGCGTGTGCCCCCGCACATGTGCCACGCACACGCAAAGCCCCTCATGTGCCCCCCCCATGCATGTGCGGCCACCTGCATACACTCACCTCCCACGCATGCACCCCCCCCCCCCTGCACACGTGAAGCAGAGAACAGCTGGCTGGCGGGAGGGAGGGAGGGAGGGAGGGAGGCGCAAGCACCCGTGCGGTGGAGCTAAACTGGGGCGACGGCTCGCACGGCATCAGAGGGCGCTGTGTGCCACCTCTAGCACGCATGCCACAGAGGTTCCCCCTCACGGGTATAGGGTTTCTTGCCTGAGCGGAGGGGCTGGACTAGAAGACCTCCAAGGGCCCTTTCAACTCCTTTATTCTGTTCCTATTCCATTCTTTTCGGTGGACAAGCACGGCTGGGGGCCTCCAGCTCCCTGCTTACGTCTCGAGTTTTCAACCCACAGATCGGCCAGAGCAACGGGGGGGGGGGGGGGTGGGGGTGTCCCCGCTCAGAAGCCGCAGAAAGAGAGGCAGGGCTGCAGAGCTCCCCAGTTGGAAGGGGGGCAGCCAAAGGCAGCTTTCTTTAACACCCCCTCAAGGTTTTCCCCCAAGGGCAGAAAGGGGCGTGGGCTCCCCTGTCCTGGGGCCTGCAAGGGGCCTGCCTAGGGCGAAGGGACCCCGAGTGGTTTAAAGGAACATTTCCGACATCTCCCTTCTTGGGATCTCATTCCACCTCCCCCCCCCCCGTCAGAGCCCTCTCGCCCTTCTCTTTCCCCCTCAACCAGCCTCTTTTCTCTTCCATTCACCCCCTTCACGGGGCCAAATCACCTCCCAGTGTTCATCTGATTGACATTTACATGGGGACGTTGCTTTGCCCCACTCGATCAGGCAGGGGAGGGGGGGGGGGCTGCGGATCACGCCGGCTGAAGAGTTCGGACCCCACTGGATCCAGGAAGGGAGCCCCTCTTCTCCGTCCGTCCCACCCGCTCTCCCAGCAGAGTTTGAAGGCCTGGTTCTGCCGACTCTCCTGGGGCTTGTTAGTGCCCGCGAGGCCTCTTCCCCACCCGTTTTTTTTAGCCTTTAATTCCTCTATCCTTGGCATAACTGCCTTTTAGTGAAATGCCACCATTTTTACATGGTTCTTATGTTTTCAGTTCTAAACACACACACACACACACACACACCGAGTTGCTGCAGGGAGACGGGCAGGCTCTACCAAGCAACCCCTCCCCTCTCCCCCTCCCCCCCAAGGCCCAAAGGCCCCCTTCTCTTCTTCCAGCTGGCACGGGGCAATCGGGAGTTTCCATCTTACCGCGACCGTGACTTGGCTTGGGCGGCGTAGTTTGTGTCGTTCTCCTCCCAAATATCCTCCTCCTCCTCCTCCTCCTCCTCCTCCTCCTCCTCACTGTCATCGAATTGCTGGATGTGTTCGCTGCAGCAGGTTTCAAAGAGGGATGCGCTGGCCTAGAGCAAAGACGAACCCCGGCTCAGACCGGGAGATCTTTCCCTTGGCAGCAACTGAGGGCAGACCCGGCCTGGGACACGGAGGTGCTGGAGATCCTGGAGAAGATCGAGCCCCTGCCGCCTCTCTTGCCCCACGGCTCCCCCTAGTTCTCAGGGGAGCTGAAAATGGCCAAGAGACGCCCAAGGCCTCCCCGGAGGAAGAGGAGGGACGAAGCCAATCACTCATCGGTTTCGCAGCAGGAAAATGAGCAGCCAAAACGCCGGTCCTTTCCCTGCTCTTGCTGTGTCCGGTGCCATCTGCGGGGACTCTATAAAAGTTTATCTTCAGGGCTGCACCAAAGAATTCTCGGTGCACCCGTCGCACAAAACCGCTCTGCTCTGCTCTCGACTGGAGACTAAGAGCGGAGAGCACGTCCGTGGGAGACGCCTGCGGAATATTTTTAGGTGGCTGGAAGCAACGAGGAAGCTTGCAAATGGTGATTATCACGTGATACTCAGCCATACCTGTGAAGGGGCACCCTCCCCTGAGTGCCAGAGTGCCTGGGAGGGGCTGGGACTCCCTCGGACACCATTTGTCCAGGGCTACCGTAAGAACTTGGAGCGGTCCCTGATCAAAAGCTGAGGGCTACCTGTACTCTCCCCTTTGAGAATCGTTTCAAGAGGCCAGGTGTGGCCAACCTAGCAGATATTCTATGCGGGTTTTGAGAGCTAGTTCTCTCCTTCAAGGCTCTGCCCAGAAGAAGAGGGCAGTCTTCCCTGTGTGGCCCTGGCATCTTTTGCTGCGCACTGCCCAGAGTAGCCGCCAGAGGTTGTTTCCTTCGTGTATGAACAACCCTGAGCAAGCGGGCTCAGACAGGGAACCCCCCCCCCTCCCTTTCTGGTCAGGATTAACAATGTGCCACTCCTTCCACCACTCTACAAGGCGGTGGGGAGGGGGGCAATGGGCTTTCTCACTTCCGGATCCACTGAGGAAAGGAAGCCCACTCAACCCCTCAGGAACAGAAGGGCCGCAAACAGGGAGCACGAGGAGGCAAGCCGAGCCGAGGTGGCGCAGTGGTTAAATGCAACACTGCAGGCTACTTCAGCTGACTGCAGTTCTGCAGTTCGGCTGTTCAAATCTCACCGGCTCAGGGTTGACTCAGCCTTCCATCCTTCCGAGGTGGGTNCCAAGCTTGCACTCAATCCAGACAAGACCGAGTGGCTATTGATGCTGCCTCCCAAGGTTAATCCAGACATTCCACCTCTTCGCCTGGGGGTTGAAATTATACACCCCTCGGAGGGGGCCCCTAGGGATTTCTAGTTCTGCCTTAGGTAGCCCACCTTGGTGACAGCTCACCTCTCAGGGCGGTGGTGGTGGGGAAAATAGGAGGAGGAGGAGGGAGACATATTGGGATGTTTGCTGTCTTGAGTAGGGGCCGGGAGGGGGGGGGGGATGTTCTGGGCCTCTTCAAACAGGCTGAAGGGTCATCTGTCAGAGACACTGGTGAAGCAGGAAGCAAGAGGCCAAAGCATTGGGGCCGGAGACGGGGCGAGAATCAGGGCCTCCGAGTGTCCGGTCTGGAATTCTGAGGAGAGCTGCATGGAGACCAGGCCACTCCCCGTGTCTGGGAGGGCGCCGAGGTCTTATGACCTCTGTGTGGGTTGGAGGGGGCCTTTGCGTCCCTCAACCACCCCGGGTCCACAGAAGCCTTCCCTTGCGGGGCTGTCACCCTTCTTCCTTACTTGATCCAGGAGATCCCTCGGATCCAAGATGCCCCCAGCACCATCGTCTCCATGGATAGTTTGAGGATTGGCAGAACAGGAGGATCTTCATCTGTGAGAATCCAGATGTGGAGACAGTCGGAATGTCCGGGAGGGGGGGTTGGGGGAGCATTGAACCACTGAGGCTCCTGAGAGAATCTTTTTCCTGGAAGCTTCCTAGAATGGATCTCAGATCCCCATCTGGCGTCACACGCTCGCTTCGGATTCGGGATGGGCACCGCCTCACAGAATTCCTTGCCTCTTGTGACCAGCCAGGGGGACACTGCAGGCCGACTCGGGCTCCTTTGCGCCGTTGCGAGACCAATGGACGGAATGAGGTACGGCTGGCTGCACTACAGCCGGGCTAAGCAGGGCGATGAAGCCTGCCTGAGCCCCCCACCCACAGGGCGGCGGCTTCTCAGGCCTTTCCCCCAGAGTAACGGTGCCTGTGGCATCCGAGGTGGTAGTGAGGAAGACCCTGCGAGGAGGAGGAGGAGGAGGAGGAGCACTCTGCCGCCCGATGGCGGCCTTTTTATTCCTCTGATGCCGGCAGTCCTGATCTATTCCGCTCCCCAGCAGAGGCCCCCGCCAGGGGGGGGGCCGAGGCCATTTGCCCAGAGTCACCACCGCAGTGAGACAGGCTGGATTACTAAAAACCAATACATAGAAAGATGGGAGAAAGGACAGCCAGGGGGGGGGGGTGTCTCCCTTCATTGCTCCAGAGACCCCAATTCTGCCCCCATTGCTGCATGTTCTGAGGAGGAGGAGGAGGAGGAGGAGGCAACGCATGGCAGGTGTCATGGCCATCCATGGGGCCAAGCAGCTCGGAGGCCTTGAGGCCTCCTAACCTCCTAAGAAGCTGGTGGGAAGCGAACTCTCAGAAGAACCATCGGGGGGGGGGGGGCTGGGCATCCCTCGCTCGCGGAATTGACTGGCTCCCCAGGAATTTTTTTTCCCCAATTTTCAATGTAATAAAATTTGTATGCTGCCCACTCCCTTTTGGACTCTGGGCGGCTCACAGGCAAGATAAAAAAAGCACTTAAAAATTTAAGATAAAAGAATACAATTGTTAAAATTACACAACATCCATTCTGTCTAAGTGGGGCTGGATATTGATCAACAGCCCCAGGCCTGCCGGAACAGCCAGGTCTTGGTGGCTTTATGGGAGGCCGGGGGAGTGGGGAGGGTCTCTGCGGGTAGATCGCTCCACAGGAAGAGCCTTGAGGCTCAGCTCAGGAAGGGAGACCTCGGTGCCTCCATTCCCCCCCACCCCACACCTCGCAGCTCAATTCACTTGGGGGGGGAGCCAAGACGGGGAGGGTGGGCGCTGGGCATCTGTCCCTAGAGAAGCAGCCTCTGTCCAGGCCACCTGCTTTGAGGCCAATCCCTTTATGGGCCGCTCTGGCCAACGTCTCCAGAGGAGGGGAGGGGAGGGAGAGAAACCTTNGTTGTTGGGGGCAATATGCTGACTCTGTAAACCGCTTAGAGAGGGCTGAAAGCCCCATGAAGCGGTATATAAGTCTAACTGCTATTGCTATTTCTGCCCGACCTCCAGGCTGCTGCCTCCCAGCTCCTTCCCTGGAGTCGAAGGGGTCTTAAAATAGGTCGGTGCCGCTTTTGTGCCTCTCGGCCAGCATCTGAAACCCCCACGTGGCTGGCCTGCTGGACTACTTACGCTGTCATCCTCTACATCAGTGCTGAAGTTTATCTCTGCGATCCGGTCAAAAGGGGTGCTGGAAGAGATGGGAAAGAAGGCCGTGAGGGGCTGCTTCCGGAAGGGCCCGTGAGAAGCCCGTGACGAGGGAGGAAGCTCCACGGAGAACCGCAGGAGGGCTGGGAAGGGGGAAGAGGCCACGGCAGTCTCCTGCTCCCCCCTTCCTCCAAAGCGCCAGTCAATGACAATCGCACCCATCCGGCCTCAAGGCAGAGCTCCCAAAGACGGGGAACTCTCCATTTCCCCTCCAGTGGACGGTTCTCTTGGGCATCGACCGGGCTCTGGAGGGAGGTTTTTCTGACAAGGGGCCTTAACACTCGCTGGGGAATGATGATGGCCCTGCGGGTGCCCAGCCCCCTCTCTCCAGGGGAAGGTCATGCGTGCTCATCCTCACAAGAGCGAAGGAGAGGGTCCCATGACCCGCATGAGGGAGCAGGCACAGAAGGGGCCGAAGGGAGCTTCCCGGATGAGGTCAAGGGAGCTCAGAGGAGGATCCTGCTCAAAGGGGGCGGGGGAAAGGGGGGGAGAGATTCACTTGATGTTGTCGTCCTGATCAGCAAACTCTTCGTCGTTAAAGCCGAACTGATCCATGAAAATGGCCGTCATCTGCTGAACCTGGTACTCGGAGAATGCCTGAGACAGGAGGAGGAGGAGGAGGAGGAGGAGAACCGGTGACCGATTTGCACTCACCGAGACAGGCGATGGGTCTGCTGGTAGGAAGCCACCCGGGCCCTTCCATCCAGCCCCAACAGAATCGCCTGGTGGAGTTCCAACCCCGCCTCCCCCCATGAACTAGGCACAAACGGGCATCCCAAGCACCCCACGAGGCTGGCACAGCAGAGGGTTGGGGGCCTCTGAAGGGCGGACGAGAAAGGCAGGAAGCAAAGGAACAAAATTACAGCCGTTTCTGTGGGATGAGTCCCTGCCCCCTGCAGAGGGACCGGCGGGGCCTCCCTCCCATGCCTAGGATGGAATCCAGACCAGAAGGGGGGGATGGGAGCCCCCTCACCTTCCCTAAAATCTCCCCCATGGAGGGAAGAACAGAGACATCCACCGTGTAAAGCAGCTGGAGGCCATCCCCCCCCCACACACCGCCTTCCGAGGCAACCATGCCCTTCCTCAAAGAAGCGTCAATCAACCACCAAATCCATCCATGGGTCAAGCCTAAAGTGAGCGGCGCCCTCCGTGCAAGGTGCCCCACCTGCTTCCAAAGGCCCCACTTCTCTAGGCTCAGAGGCAGCCCCTCCCCAGCAAACGGGAGAACCTCACCAGTTCAGCTCAATCCCCCCCCATCCCTCCTCCTTCGAAAGGTTGCAAGTGACCTTGAAGGGGTGGTGGGGATGATGCTGCAGGGGCCACACCCCAGGCTTTGGTGGATCACAAGGGGCCCAGAATGAGCCCCCTGGTCCCCCTGTCTCCCCCTCCCACCTCCCCAATCGTTTACCTTCCACACACGGAATCACTAAACCTTCCAAGCAGCCGCTGGCAGCCTCCTGCCTTCATCCTGACCCTTCCTCCCGCCCGCTCTTCACAAAGCCATTAACTAACATTTAACTAGGGCTCCCCCGAAGGGGCCCTAGGAGCCAGCCAGAGAAACCGGCCAAGGGAGCCTGCAGCCCCAGGGAGGCCTACCTGCTGGAGAGAGACTTCGCTGGGGAAGGCGGCCTTGGCCTCCTCGTCTTCGCTGGAGGAGTGCAGGTGGTGAGCCGTCACCTGCGCAGAGGAGAAACCATGGATGGACTCCCAATGTCCCTTCGGGCCGCCTCTTCCTTCTCTCGCCACCTCTTGGGGCAGCTTCCATTACATTTCCTCATCTCCCACCCCACCCCCCGGTTCAAAATGACAGAAGACCAGAGCGTCTCACCAAATCCACCGTGTTCCTTCGGTTGGCTTCCACCAGAGTCTCCTCCACGAAGCTCTCCCAGCGGCCTCTGCAATCTTCAGGGAGACCTGCAAGGAAGGAAGCAGAGGCCGCAGGGCTCAGAGCCTCAGGGGGGTCAGGACCGGAACGGCTGCGTGGGTGTGTGTGGGGGCCCAGAGGCATCTACTCTTGGGAAGAAAGCGTGGAGGGGGAGACCAGAGAGAAGCCGGCTGGCCCTGAGGTGCACAGGGGTGCCAACGCTCTGCAGCCGTCCGGGCACCTGGGTTTAACCTCCAGGATCCTGCCTCTGGGCGCTCTGGTTTAGCCAGGACCGGCTGGCTGCTCAGAGGTGCTGAAAGCTCCCGAGTGGCTTACATCCAGCCCTCCGGCCGACTCAGAGCAGGGGAATCTGGGCACTGGGGTCAGGCACGAGACCAACCCACCCGAAGAGGATTCTGCTTCCCCCAGTTGCTGGCTGACATCCAGACACCTCCCTCTCCCCCTTATTTATTTGTTAAATTAATTTTCCACCCATCTTTCTTCGAAGCAACTCTGGTCATCTTACAAGAGTAAAAGCAATAAAACCACATAAAATAAATAATTCTAAAACAATAGCAAAATAGAATTACAACCCAACTCCAGTTGCAAATAACGAATGAGGAAGGAGAGAAGAGCATGCGTGGGGATGGGGGAGAGGGGGGATTTCTCTTCATCCGTCAACCACCCCAAGTGGGAAGCTCCCTGTCAAGCATGCCCCCTCCTCCAATATCCAAGAAAGGAAAAACTCAACTCCATGTGAATAGAGGACTTTTAGGAGACATGAAGTGAAAGCAGTGAAAGGGAAAGCAAGATCTGAGCCAGAAAGGAGGGAACATCTACGTACCAAACGTTTACCCAGCCCCCCCCCCCCAATCCCCCAACCCATTGTCCAATCTGCAGCTCCCTAAGGTGTGTCACCTGGGGTGCATCTCCAAACAGCCTCATCAGGTTGGTGTGCGGAACGGTTGGCCTTGACCAAGTCCACACATCAGCCTCCAGCATGGGCAGAAGGTGGTGAGAACAAGGCTCCTCCAGTACAACATCATTCCCTTCCCCAAGACTAGCGCCCCCCCACCCCCACCCTCCCCGTTCCTATGGCAGCCGATAGCAAGCAAGCGTAGCAAGCAAAACAGAGGCTGGNGGGGGGAGCAGCCAAATCCCAGAGTGGCACCAAAGTTGGCCTCAATGGGTTGGCACTTCCACGAGGCTCATTCATACTGAAGAATGGCAAAAACCCCTCAAGTGCAGCTCTCCATTTAGAAAAGAAGAAAAGACACCCCAAGACCAAAGGGGCCAACACAAATTTGGGGGTGGCAGAGAGTGGGCGGGGCATTTGCTTCAGCCTCCCATGGGCACTGAGGCCGGTTTGGCCCCCGCTGGGCTGCAGGGTTTAAGCTCCCAGTTACAGCTCCCGAGAGGGGGCACCCAATGGTCGCTGCCTGTCCAAAGACCCGGCAGGCCAGCGCTGGGGGCCCCTCTCCCCCCCCCCGCAGTCAGGCCTGGAGTCCCTTTCCCAGCTCCTCCTTCCAGATCACACCCCCCCCCCTCTTCCTCAGTCTTCTAGGCGGGCAGATTTCACAGCCGGGGTGGCTAATGAGGAGAGTTCTGGGAGATCCACAGGGCACAGGTGGGAGGAAGCCCCGGGGCGGACGAGGGAGCAGCCCAAGGCCCAGGGTGGTGGAGCTTCCCCTTCTGAGAGCAAAGCAGCCAAAGGAGCTGCTCCTCCTCCTCCTCCTGGGCGGCTGCTGCTGCTGCGGCTGCTGCCGCCATGAACCCCTGAGCCCCTCCTGTCCTCCGGTGACTGCCGGGACGCCAGAGGACGTCCAGGAAGAAGCCGGATTTCAACCAGAAAAGAGAAGGGGAGGGGAGGGGAGGGGGGAGTTTCTGGGCCAGCTCTGCCATCCACACGGCCTACAGAGCAGCGATGAATTAAGACTTCGGGCTATAAGGGGGTTGTATAACATTTAATAACGTTTTGCCACAAAACGGTCACGCTCAATGTTGACATTTCTGACAAGAACGCCTTTTATCACTGAAAAAGCCCAATTTAGATTTTGGCTCCTCTCAAGCCAAGGCAGAGCGAGAAGCTTAAGCTCCTTCCTCCCGCTTGGCCTGGCTTTGCCTGCCTTCATCGTCACCCACTGAGACGGGGCTGCCAGGGGAAGCCCCGGGGGGCACCTGAGGAGGAGAGCCCCCAATCCCCCGATTCCCCCTTGGCACTTCCAAGGACGGGCAGGGAGCCAGAAGCCCCAAGGAGGACTAGAAACGCCCCTCCGGCAGCTTCTTCCGTCGCCCTTTGCCAAGGACCAGAGGCTGACTGAGGGCCTGGAGAGCTGCCTCCTTGGCGCACGGCTGGTTCCCGTGGCTGCAGCAGCTACCGCCTCCCTTCAGGAGACTCCGTCAAGACCCGAGGACGCTTACGTGAGTCAGTAGGAGGGGCTCTGGCGCTTCCGCATTTTCCCAGGGGACGTTTCCCTCCTCCTCCTCCTCCTCCTCCTCCTCCTCCTCCTCGTTTTCCGTGAGCAGCTTGGTTCCGGGCACGGCGTGCATCAGGATGGCCGTGATACACAGCTCCACTTGGAAATGCAGGAAGTTATTCCACGTGTATTTGAAAAACAGGTCCTGAAACAAGGCAGAGGAGGGGGCTTCATTCCCATCAGTCGTAAGCCGTCATGCCAGGGCAACGGAGGCACACGGAGCCTCCTTTTCAAGGTTCAGCAAGCACCCCAGGACTCCCCCAGGCCTGCTGCTACGCTTCCTCCGGTAGGAAGACAAAGGCCGGCTGGCATCCCCAGAAAACCCACTTTCTAGGTGCCCCGGTGGCAGGCCCAGCCGCCCACTCACTCACCAGCAGCAGGTCCATAGTGTTAAGCCGGCACAGCTCCTGATTAACGCTGGGCGTGTTGGTGTGAAGCAGGGCGGCAACCAAGCGGGCGCCATGAAGACGAGCATTGCCGAGGGGCTCCTCCAGGATCCCGATGGTCGTCAGGATAGGAGCCACCTGCCACCATCGAGACAGGAAAACCAGCGTTTCAAGCTGGCTGCCCACAAAGCCCGGACAGAGAGCGCCGGCGCCTCCTTTCCCCTGCCGCCCGCTGCCAAGGGGGCTGCGGAAGACCGTGGCACGACAAAACCGCGGTCCACTAAAGCGCGCCTGATTAAAGCGCGTACCTGACGTCATCAGCAGCGCGACAAATACGACCGCGGAGAATTAAAAAAGCGATTTTAAAGCAAGCCGATTCACGTAAAGGTAAGGGTTAGGTTTAGGTTAGGGTTAGGGTTAGGGTTAGGGTTACGTTAAGCGTTAGGGTTAGGGTTAGGTTAAGGGTTAGG